GGTGGCTGGAGGTAAAGCAAGGCTCTTTGATGCTGATGAAATCTAAGATGAGATGCAGTTTTTATAGGAGCACAGAAACTGCCAGACTGGAACAGAGCTCTGCTTCCTATTGTCAACTCTCCTTTCCTAGTGCTGGCAGCTTCCAGAAGCTGGGTAAGGAGTCTTGCCCCAAGGGGTGATCCTTCCAGCCCTCAAACGCAGCGAGCTGGCCAGTCCTTCCAGCTTGAAGGGGTTTACATGCCATTCAAATCTTATTTTATTTTTTTTTTCCTTTTCAAATTCACTCTTCCTTCTCTTCACAAACCTCGATCCTTCCCTCAGTCTTGCCGAGGCTTTCACTGCAACAATACCCACCAGTAATGATTTACCCATGCTAATTATGCCTTTTTTTTTTTTTTTTTTCTGCAGAGGAAAACATATTGTTGATGGCTCTAAACGCAGTGATTTTTCAGTTTAATTGAACTTACAGCTCCATATCCCCGGGGCAGGCTGGCAATGCAGTTCCTCCCCCTCCCCCTGAGACACACACAGGCACTTTTTGGAGCCCAGCAACAGTCACTTGTTGAAATGTTTTCTTTTTTTCTTTTTTTCTTTTTTTCTTTTTTTTTTTCAGGTTCTTTCCCTCTTGCCTGCTCCATTTAAATCCGAGCCTCTCTGCAGATGAGGCTTTTGCAAAAGGCAAATAGCTCTCTCTGTCCGTCTGAAGAATGAAAAAGGCCCCGTTAAAGTCGTTCTGTTGATATTTCCCGGCAGTTTTGCAGAATTCCTCGCTGCTCTGCAGCTGTTCCAATTTGTTGTCTCAGCTGTGAGGATTTACTCCAGCTTTGCCTGAGCTGCGTTTTCTCACCATTCATCAGGCTGCTGGTGAGATCCATCAACACCAAAGCCACCTCCAAGCTGGTGTTTGGGGTAAAACTCAGCCTCCCAAGCGCCTGGAGAAGCCGCTGCCAAGTTTTAAAGGGTGTTTGTGGTTCCTCTGGAGGGGTTGCATCAGGATAAAGCACACATTTGGGAAGTTTTCTGGAGAGCCTGGTCCTGGCACTGCCTCCCAGTGCAAGCTGGAGATGGCTGTGCCCTGTCTTGCTGGGATTGCAGCCCATCTGCAGGGCTCCCCAGCTCTCCTGTGGCAGGGCAGGTGGCAAATTCTGCAGGTGATGGTCACGTTCTGCAGGGTGAGGGTGTTTTTGGAGGTGTAGACAGAGATCATTGGCACAGAGAAGCTGTGGCTGCCCCATCCCTGGAAGTGTTCAAGGCCAGGTTGGAGCAGCCAGGACTAGTGGAACGTGTCTCTGTCCATATAAGGGGGTGGATTGAGATGATCCTTGGGGTCCTTTTCAACCCAAACCATTCTGTGATTCCATGAGATAACAACGTACTGGATTTTCTGGAGTGTCCTTGGCAGGCTGGGCAGAGGGAACAAGTAGAGAGGTGGCTGCTTTTCAGGGACTCTTCATTATCAGCATGGCAGCTTGAGGAGGGTGGTTTTTCTTCGGTGTGATTTGACATTTTATTCTGCCTTTTGGCTTTTGCTCCACTGTCTAAGAATTTTTCTGCAAAAATCTCCAAATACCAGGACGCTGCGGTGATAGCAGTGAAGAAGAGCACCGTCTCACACAGTCATTAAAAATGCATAAGTAGTTTCAGAAGCAAGTTGCTCCCTCTGAGAACCAAATCGTCCATAATTCTGCTTGGTATTTAGGGACTTTTATCTCCAGAGAGAAGGCAGAACTCTTCAGGATAGCCCTGATTTATTTTATTCTCTTGAATTTTCAGAGCTAGAGATGAAAAAGGGGCTTAACAGAGAAAGAATTACATACTTGTGCTGCACAGAGAGAAGCCAGGGGGTCGGCTCACGATCCACCAGCTACTCAGCAATGCACCCACCGCCCCCAAGGACCCAGCAAACTCTTTTCCAAGCAGCCCACTCTTTCTGGGGGTAGCAGATTGAGAGTGCTCTATAAACAGCTGTCCATCAACCAGGCTATCACAGCATGCTGTCAGTACAGTAAAGAGGAGCCATTACAGCAAGAGCTGTAAATGTACAGGCTGTGACATGTTCTTGGTGGAAACTTCAGCAGAGGAAGTTGGTTTGATTTATTTTCAGCAAACTGTGCCGAGGATGAGTTTGGGATAAGTCATCTTCACATGCACAAGACTTAGTGCAGCAAGTTGCTATATATCCTTGCCTCTTAGAGTGTTTTCTTGGCTTCCTTCTTTGAAGGAAGGTTATCTTCCCTCCCTCTCTGTGCAGAATTTCAGACTGCTCTGGAGTTAATACCCAAAGCTGTACCTCTGGTTCCTTGGTGCAGCTGGGCAGAAGGGATGTTTTATGGCTCCTCCTGGGGGGATGAGAGGCACACAGATGTAAGGATGCAAAGGCTGCTCTCTCCCCTTTCCCCTCTCCTCCTAAATGTTGAATCCCAGCCTCTGTCCCCTCTGCTCAGCAGTGCAGCTGCGGTTTGGGGGTGGGGGGAGCCACCCTGGTGTTGCACTCCCCAGGTATTTTCCAATCAGCCAGATGGTCCGTGGGCACGGCTTGGAGGAGCCTGCGTGGTTCTGCTGTTTTGGCAAACCCCAAGGTGTGTGTTTCTCTCCCTCCCAGCTGCTCCCAGGGCTGGTGCTGGAACATCCAAGCGCTGGGAAAAGCCGTCTGGAGCGGCGGGGAATGCGTGAGGTGGAGGCAGCATCCCCCCTGTGCTCCATGTTCTAGGTAATTACAGCCCTGCTGCTCGTGGAGCAGAGCTCAGCAGGTGCCCTGTATTTATTATTTAGCTTGCTGTTAACTCGAAGCTGGTGGTGCACAGGCAGCTGCTGCTTCCCTGGGAACGTCTGCATTCAGCTCCTCACCAAACCTGGCTGCAAACAGGACAGGGGGCCTTGAGGGTCTGACCCTCAGAGCTGGAAGTCACAGGACCTTCTCCCAGACCTTGTGCAGTCTGTCTTTGCAGAGTCTGAAGTGCTAACCACTTGTTTGAGGTGGGTGATTCACAGAGTCACAGAATCACTGGGGCTGGAGAAGCCTCAGTGCCACGTCCAGTCCTTCCTTGGACACCTCCAGGGATGGGGACTCCACCACCTCCCTGGGCAGCCCCTTCCAATGCTTGAAAACCCTTTCCATGAGGAAATTCCTCCTGATGTCCAACCTGCCCCTCCCCTGGCACAGCCTGAGGCTGTTCCCTCTCCTCCTGTCCCTTTTTCCCTGGGAGCAGAGCCCAAACCCCCCAAGTTCTCCCCACTCCTGTCAGGGACTTGCAGAGCCAGAAGGTCCCCCCTGAGCCTCCTTTTCTCCAGGCTGAGCCCCCCCAGCCAGGGCTGTAACACTGGTGTGAGTAAATTTGACCTGATCCTGCTGTTTTCTCAGTATCTTGGAAAGTTGTGAAATAACCCCTTCAAAGTGCTCAAATGACATGTTGCTCCACGATCTGTCTCTGCTGCTGCCAACGCTTCCAAGGAACCAATTTCCCATGTGCTTAACCTTTTAGGGCTTTTCCTCCTTAGGAATTACTCTGTAACTCCCACTAAAAAAAAAAAAAGGAAAAAAGAAAGAGAGAAAATTGCCATTGCCCTTCTCTCAGGGGTGGTTGATGATTTCCTGGTGGTTTGGGGGAGTTTCTGCTTTTTCAAAGTGGGTTAAGCACACTGAAATCAGGATGCCCTTCCAATGTACAACTGACATTTCAGCATGGGATCCGTCAATTTTCTGGAACAGAGAGGATTGGGATCCTCTGGTGGTGGGAGCTTCCCGAGGGAAACGTGATCTAGAAAATTATCAAACCCCAAAGAGTGGAGATGTCCCAGTGCACCCTGTATTGTCTTTATTTCTGTGGCCATGTCTCTGTATTTCCTGTCTGTAAAAAGGGATAGTCCCTATGGAGACTGCTGAGATAAGCTGGAGGAAGTCTAAATGTAATCTAAAAATAGATTAATTGAAAAATTGCAAGTAGAAAGCTACATCTTTTTTTTTTTTTTTTTTCTCTTTTTTTTTCGGACAAAACTCCTGGTAACTTCAAAGGCAGATTAAAGACTTTGCCTGTGTCAGGACTTTAATATTTGGCCCAAGAATTAGACAAATGGAATAGTGTGAGAATGTTTGCCAGAAAATTGGAGAAGGGAGAGATAAGGTAACAGATGAAACACTCAAAGTCAGCGTTTAAGGACATTGCTGCCTGTGGAGATAATTTTATCAACTCGAGAGACAACCGTTTTTTTTTTTCTACAAAGTAAAAATCTGCCCTCCATGTGGCTGTTTAAAATGGTAGATGTTACAAATTTGTTGAACTGTGCTGTGGGAGTCTGCTCTGGGACAGCCAGTGCCAATATCTGTGCTAGTGATAAATCTGTGGATCCTCTGCCTTCTGCTCTTCATTTTGATGGAGTTTTGACTTTGGGACTTAGACCTCTGTGTGTTGGGGTGGGGAAAAAGATTGTCCTGATCTGGGTTTTGTGGTGAATCCTCCTGTTCCTGAAAGGGAGGGAAGGAGGTGTGACTGTCATGGGGGCAGGAGCATTACCAAGAATTGGTTTTTAGTTTGGTGAGGCCAAAGTGACTCTCTGTCTGTGCCCACACTCATCCCTCACATCATGTCTTGGTATGAAAATGTTTTGTCCTATCCTAAAACCAGAAGTCAGTTTTAAATTTTGAGTTTCAGGCTGTTCTGAGTGAAAAAAAAAAAAATAAAGAGGGGGGTGGGTGAGAATAGAAGTTAAGAGATGTGACTCAATATTGATTTCCACTTGTTTTTGCTGAAATGCTAAAAATGCCAAGATGAAATATTTGGACTTTTCCTTGTGTTTCTTTTCATTTTTTATTTTTTTTTTTGGTTAGAAGCTTTTTGCCCAGTCCTGATTCCAATTCCTGAATAATTCATAGTCCGTAAATAGCTTGGGTAAATAGATTCTTCGTCCCAAGGGCTTGGCGAGCTGGGGGCAGTGCCACCCTGCTGTGAGGGGCTGCAGGGGGGGCAGAGGTGCTCACAGGGCTGTGTGTTGTGTCTCTGCAGAGTTATGTCATGCCCAGACCACCAAAGGGCTCCATGAGGATTTATGGAAGATGCCCCGTGTCTTGGCGCCTCTGGTGCTCCTTCTGCTGTGGCTGATGAGGATCTCTGCCAGCCCCCATTCCCTGAGGATTGGTGAGTACAGACCTTGCTTCTGACTTGTGTTTGAACACCATCCACTCGCTGTTTGGCCACTCTGTCTAGGAATTCTTGGACAAGGGAATGCTGTGGAGGTTCCCTGTCTTGGTGGGGTGCTCCCTGTTCAGGTGGGGTTGGCTCATTTGCTGAGCACTTTCGTGTTGGAAATGTTCTCTCCTCCCTCTTGACAATGTCCCACCTGCATTTTGGAAATGTTCTCTCCTCCCTCTTGTACATGAAATTTGGTTTGTGGTGAGTTTATGCCCTTGCATTGATATTTTTTTTTTTTTTTTACGGTGTCAGCGTCGCCTGACGGGAATCTCGTCTCGTATAAATCGAAAGCCACCCCTCAAAGAGACACTGAGGAATTAAACCTGCCCTCCTGTGCTCCAGCCTACCCCCCTCAGCTCCACATAAAGTGAGCCAGTTCACTGTCACTGATGTATTTGTCCTCTGTTGATGAGCGACAAGTTTTTGAGTCCAAACGGCCCCTCGTTAAGCGATGCCAAAAGGACGTGAATAAATCGAGATTTCTCCATTTGTAAGAAAATCCTCTGCATTTGGTCTGCTTTGGGTTGTATTAAACAGTGTTCAGGCAGAGGCACCACCCTCTTCCCTGGCTGCCTGTGCAGGATTAGGAGACAGAAATGCATCCAGAAAGCCTGTAATGAAACTTGCCTCGAAAGTATTGACACTTTGCTCTGCTGTTTAGAAAGGAAACTGCTTCCCCAGGCTGCTCCCTCTGCAGCTCCCAGCTGGCTTTATTAACTCTTTGCTGCACATAAGCAGCAAATCTATTCCTGTCCCCCATTTGCACCTTTCAGGGGTGACACCTGAAGCAAAATGACCTCTCCCCTCTGCTAGTGGAGCGTGGAGCAGCTCAGGAACCTGGCAAGGGAGGAGGGTCTGTGCTGGCAGGAGCCTGGCAGGGCTGTTTTCTGTCCCCAGCAGCTGTTGAGTCATGTGCAGCTCTCACACTGCACGGGCTCAGCTCCGCAGGCTGCATCTCCTGGGTATGGGCAGATCCTCCTCTGGAGCCAGCAGGCAGGGATGGGGGTGGGTGGTGAATTATCAGGATGCTGAGGTGGGGAAAAAAAAAAAATCCCTCTTCATGCCTTGTGTCCCGTCTCTGGGGGTGGGGCTGCAGGTGCTTGGGGAAGAAGAGACTGGTGGTTGGCCACTTTCACAACCCAGAGTGGAACTGGAAGGGGTTGGAGAGGTGGGACGGTGCTTTGGAGGTCCTGGTTGAGGACTGGAAGATAAAATGTGCCCTGCAGCACACCTGCCAAGTGGGTTTAGCTCCCACCTTCCAGGTCTCAGCTCGCTGGGCACTCAGGGGTTCCCCACATGGAGTTGTTGGGGGTTTGATGAGTGTTGTTTCTTCGAGACACAGTTTCATTTTTACAGCGTCTCCAACAAAAAAGTTCATAAAAATAAAGCAGAAAATAAAAAGAGGGGGGAAAAATATTACCAGCAGCCCTGAAATCATTCCCAAATGCATGCTTTTGGCAAGGCAGGGAGATATGCTATCTAGCAACATAAATCAGGGCTCTGCATAGGAAAGGAAAAAACAGACCAGAATGAACATTTAAATATTCAAAGAAAATGCAAGCTAATATTTAAAATAATCCTCGAAGCCATCTGGTTGCTGAGGTGCACAGTTAGATGGGAGGTGGACATGGGCAATGTCCTGGTGGGTTCATCACCAGGAAGAAGAGATGATTTTCTGCAGCACTTGCCTTCCAGGTAGGAGGAAGCACAGTGGTGCTGAGTCAGGGGCACTTGGCTTGTGAACCAAACCCTGAGCTTCCCTGCTGCTGCTTTTTGGGGTTTTGGGTGGATCTTGGCCCTGGAATTTCCCAGTGGAGTTCCTAGGCAGCAGATTGCCTAATCTTTGAGCACACAGTGACGGGAATTTTTGCTGGCCTGGACGGGGCCCACAGCGAGTGTTGCTGTCGTGGTTTTGCCCATCAGCCCATCCTTGGGGCTGAGGATGGTTTTGTCCAGGTAATTTCTGGACAAAAAGGCCAATCAAAAGTCCAGTAACGCCTTTGCTAATTACATCTTCAAGAAAACGGAAGAGAAAGTTGTTGGCGCAGTTGGAATTGGTAGCAGCAGCCATGTGGGGAGAGAAATAGTGGGCCCGAGCAGGGCCAGACTCCCTCCTCCCCTGGCTTGGGCCGGGGTGGGGGGAGCAGGTGCAGCACTGAAGTCCTCCCTTCTCTCTTGTAAGAGAGTGAAGAGAAAAAAAAGTTTAAAAGACGGACTGTTTGGACAGAAACCGCTGTGGAAGAATTCCAGCCAAAAGATAACGGAGCTTCCAAGGTCGGAGCTGGCGGCTGAAGCTGCAGCAAGGGGCGAAAGGGGGGGGCTTGTTTCCCCCCTGCCTTTCTGCTCTCTCTCCTTAGCAGGGAAAAGACTGAAAAGTAATCCCTGCTACTTGTAAAAGCTTGTTGAAGTAAGGAGACCCCCTATGCAGCTGATAGAAGAGTCTGTGGATGTACCAAAGAGAACCGAGACTTCATGAGAAGAACTGAAGTGAGGCAGAGTCCTGGTGGAGATTTGTGACCCTGAGGGAAACCTGTGCTGGAGCAGTGACGACTCAGGTGGGATACTGGGATCCGTGTGTGTGTGGATCTATACTGCTGTTGAAGATTTTGTAACCCTGAGAAAATCTCATGCTGGAGTGAGACGGCCCATGTGAGATGCTGGAACCCGTGTGTGTGTGGGATCCGTGCTAGACCCATGCCGAGAAGTCTATCAAGGACTGTTCTCCCATGGGGAGGGACCTCCATAGGGAAACAGGGGTGGACTCTTAAGCCATTATCCCCTGTAACCCTGTGGAAGAAGATCCATAGTAAGCAAGTGTCCCCTTGCAAGCCTATGGAAGGAAAACCCTTCAGGACCTGGGTAACTCTCAGCCTTGGGTCTTAGCCCAGGAGGGGGGTAAGCCCAGCCCTGGAAGCCAACACAGAGCGAGAAGGAGAGAGAAGAAGTTCCAACTGCAATGAAAGTGCTGCTGCTGCTGAGGATCTGCTACTAGAAGGAGAGAACTGGAACTCCAAAGATACAAAATGAGACTACTTCTTCTCCTTGGACTAGTATAAAAAGGGAAGAAGTATTTCTGTGTATATATAACATTTCAACTTAAGTAGAAATTGTTATAGATATAATTCTTTAATTTTTAATTTATTAGTAGTTTTTTGTTTTACTAGTAATAAATATGTATACTATTTACCCCAAATCCTGTCTCTCTTTTGTCTGCAAATACCTTCTCTCAACTAGTAGTAATTGTGTGGGGGGTGGAAAGAAAATTGACCAGAAGCAAAACCACGACAGTTGCATTGCAGTGAGCTTTAGAGGCATCATCTGTGCAGAAAAAGGAAGCAGAGCACTGGCTACAGGGTGACCTTCCCCGTGCCTTTGGATGCACAGGAACAGGCTATCTTTGCTCTGTTTCTTGACATACAGGAAAAAAACATCGGTGCAAACTGGTTTTTTTCAGCCTCAAACTCTTGTGTGTTCCCTTCTGCTCCAGTCCTGGAGAAAAACCTCCTTGTTACCATTGTTCTAGAGACTTTTGTGTGTGGGGGGAGAAAGCTATAAAAGCTTTATCCAAAAGGGTGATGTTTTACTAGGAGTGTCTCTGGTGTGTCCCTCAGCTCACCTGCTCTTGCCTTGGTGAAGCATCATCTCCACAGGCGCTCAAGAGCTGGTTGTGCTCAGGGTATGAAGAAGCAGGCAGGGATGAGCACGTCCTGAGCAGTTTTAAGAGCTCCAGGAGGCGTGTAAGGAATTGCCTTGAGACATCCTGTAGCTCCTGAGAGAGCCTCCCAAAATATCTCGGGACCCCGGTAATTTGTGCTGTGCCCTTGAGGACACGTTGTGTTGCATCCAACCCCACCAAAAGCTGGAGAGAGAGGCATCTCCCCCCAGCCCTGCTTTCCTGCAGCACACAAAGCCTGTAGAAATAATCCTGGGTTTGTTTTCTCTCTGTTCACTCACGCTCAATAAAGTGTCAGGAAATCTGCCTGAGTTATTTACTGAGTTATTTACTTGGTCTTACGGAGCAGACAGTCAGGGCCCTAAATTGGCATTCTCTGGCAGGATTCATTGGGTGTGCTAACAGCTCATTTAAAATTCATATACAAGCCAAAGTTGTAGTTTATACATGGCATTGTCCTAACTAGCAGCACTGACATATGATCTACTGGCAGAATCCTTGCAAGGCCTCCTGCAGCTCTTTAAAGTGCTCCTGTCTGTAACTGCCTCTGTAAATCCCTTCCCTGCCTCTGCCTCCTAGCTTTGCAAACTTTATACCACAAGTGAGACGCAGCTCTGGCATTTAAAGGTATTTTTGGGGGGTGAAACTTGTTGTTTTTCTGCCCCATCCACCCCTGGCTCAGCTGGTGGACAATCCATCCCAGTGCTTTGTGGTTTCATCCACCAGAGAGGCAGTTGGTGGTCAAAGCCTCCACGAGTCCAAACTGATGCTCAGGTGTCACCAGAAGTGCCAGCCCGGGACGTTTGTCCCTGTTTCCAAAAATTCTGGAATGCCTGAAGGGCTGTGAATCTCCTGCACCTGCTCTGGTCGTGGAACTGGAATCATGGAGTGGTTTGGATTGGAAGGGGCACAAAAAATCATCTCATTCCAACTTCCTACCATGGGCAGAGACACCTTCCACTAGACCAGGTTGCTCCAAGCCCTGTCCAACCTGGACACTTCCAGGGATGGGGCAGCCACAGCTTCTCTGGGCAACCTGTGCCAGGGCCTGCCCACCCTCACAGGGAAGGATTTCTTCCCAAAATCCAATCTGAACCCATTCTCTGCCAGTGGGAAGCCATTCCCCCTCGTGCTGTCGCTCCAGGCCCTTGGAAATAGTCTCTCTCCATCTTTCTTTTGGCTCCTTCAGGCACTGCAAGGCTGCAGTCAGGGGTCACCCTGAAGCCTTCCCTTCTCCAGGCTGAACATTCCCAATTCTCTGAGCTTTTCACGT